TGTGTATCATCTAAGATTTTACTCCCCGGACTGCGGAGAGACAGGGAGAAAAAAGAGGCAGAGCAATAGAAAAGCGAAGAGGGAGGGAGAAGGGGCGAGAGCGGGAGAAAGAAGGAGCCAGAGGAAGCCTGCGAGAGGCACTAGCTCCTTGACAAGGTTTCTTCGGAGTCCGGATCCCCTCCGCTGGCAGGCGGCAGCCCTGGGCCATCTAAGGCAAGTAGATTTTGTTTTCTGTCTTCTGTATTTCTGACAAAGTTAGATAGACACTGGGAAGCAGCATTCAGCGGCTTTGAGCTGGGACTCTCTCCCGCCCCCCTTCCTCCTTTGACAGAGTTCCACCGAAGCAGCAACTTGGGAACTTTTAAAAACCTCTCTCTCTCTCTCCCACCCCCCCTCCGCCCCCAGCACGCAGTTTCCCTGCCCGATCACTGTTCTCTCTCGCATCACGCTTTAGCTTTAGCTTTTGCCGGATGCTGAATAGAAGCCGGTCCGGCCTGGTTGGGATTTTCCAACCACAAATAGAAGCAACGTGTGTGTGTGTGTGTGTGTGTGTGTGTGTGTGTGTGTGTGTAGGTGGGAGAGAAGAAGATGGTGGCAGCTGCTTATAGCCCTGAGGTGGGAAAACGGGAAGACTTAGGGGACAGAAGCTGTATGCAATAAATAAGCATTTTTTTTATCCCAACCTTAAAAAGAAAAGGCCAAAACTACTGATAAGTTTCCACAAAATCAACTGGATTTGCCCCAGAATCCACTGAGCACCTTCAAGTAGGAGATATGTGTGCATGTGTCCGCAAACATATGTGTGAGTTTTCTTAGGAAACAGTCTCGATTTTGAGCAGGCGCTTACTCACCTTCCGAGGGGAGTCCTTGGGCCCTTTTGACTGTGGAGGTCTGCTTAGGCGGGGGCTGTATCAAGCCGTCCAGGGGACCAGCGCACGTCTTCTTGCGGGCTTTGCATCTGCTTGAGAGAGAACACCACGGGGGCCTGCAGTGTCTGAGCTGAGCTTGGTCGTGCTCTGATCTTTACCTGCTCCGCTTGTTACTTGATCACCTAATGAAAAGATCGATTGCAGATTGTTTATCCGGGGGTGGGAGACTGTCAACAGATTAGAGGGACAACAGCAAGACCCACAGAATGAAAAAGACAGGCAGGGCAGCGGGGAAGGCCTTCCTGAGCAGACAGCCATTATTGCAAGGAAGGGACCATAGGTTGCCTTGAAAACGACAAATAATCTCCCAATTATTTCTGGGTGTAAAGTAACGTGCAGAGTTTGTCCTTGTCAGAAGGGTATCAGACAGCACCCAATGCAATATCTTTTTTTTTTTAAAGGAAATATAGGGTGATTAGTGGCCACTTCAATAGGTCCCTCAAGTAACCTCACATTTTGAGAGTTGGGCCCTAAGAAATATCAGTTCAGGTTTGGAAAAAGGAACTTCAGCAGAAGAGACCCTTAAGCTATCCACAGGCACTGATTTAGATAGTTCAGATCTAGAAATACTTTGTCAATCCTCATCCTCTTTCTTCTACAGAGCAATAATAATAATAACAACAACATCATATTAAACTCACTGGAAAGCCTTCAGCTTTAGGCAAAAATATCTCTAAGATGTGATCTGAAAAACAGAGGAAAGCTCTAACTTTCCGTCGCAGGCTAGCTGTATTTACACTGAATTTGCTTTGATCTCTATGGCATTTATTGATATTGAGAATCCGAGTTTGTAAATCGCTTAAGCAGGAGGAGGTTGTACCTCGTGTACTCAGAGTGCCAGATGACATTTTCAGGTGTGGAGTTTTTTCCCCTCTTTTTCTTTTTTTGCGGGGAGGGGAGACATAGAAATCAGAGGGACATTTGTGACATTCTGTGGACGTATGAGCAGGGCTGCCGATGCCATAAACCATATGAACGATGTTCCATGAAGTTGTAATGTTTTGGAAATAAGGAGCTGAAGGAGTTTGTTAATCTTGAACCTGCTTGCTTTCTTGATACTTCAGACAAGCGGTTTGTATATTTCGATAGGGGTATTTTATATGAAAGCAGAGATTCAGGCTGAGCTAAACCTTCTCGCCAAAATCCTTTTCTATGGAAGGAATTTAGATCATTTTGAAGGGGGGAGGACATGCACCCCTTGAAGCTGCGGTCCCAAAGACACCTTCCTAGGAATAGGGCCGACTGAATGCTATGGAATGCCTGGAAGTTAACTTCTGAATAGACCCTGTGTACTGTATAGAACTGCAAAGTTGTTGGGTGTAGGAAAGAGAGATTCCCCTCTTGCTCTCTTCGGGGCTGATATCTGAAGAGATCTACACCCTGTCTGGACTACAGGGAAGCTTTGCTATTCTTCGCATACGCTTTTGAGTTATTTCTAAAAGGACAGAAAGGGTAATTAAAAAACTAAAAGAAGAAGAAAAGCACCCACCCCTTCCTCTCCCAATTAAAAGAAAGCTAAACTGGGGAATGGAAAATATAACTATGCCTAAAGATCTTGTTCTTCCTAAAATCAGTTTCACTGAAAGGCCCAATTCCCCGGAAAATCCATCTGCATTATTCTTGTCCTTTATCATAGATACGACTGTGTGGTTTGTGCCTAGATTCGCTTATCTGTGAAAGCATCCTTATATGGAAAGCTATCAGGATCCTCGCTCTCCTAAGTGGAGAAAAATATGTAACATTTTTTAGCAACGCTGAGCAGCTCACTCCCTATTCTGGTACAAGATCCAGCTGCATTTCGTTAGGACATGACATTTGGGAAGTGCTTTTTAAAGCACACATATGCCATTCCCGTTCTCCCTAGATCAACTTAAAACAGACCCAGAAAGCAAGCCATACGGAAGGCGTGCTTGGAATTCTGTTCTCTCGCTTTCACAGACTAACAGCCTGCTGGGCCGTTTGCCCCGCAAATCAGCTCGCAAAGCCTTCGGCCGACTCTCCCCAAGGCCGGCTCCCTACCTTTCGGGGGCCCGGCCCATCAGAGAGCAGGTCGAGAAGCAGCCTTGCGCCCGGACTGGGTCCAGCACTTCCACTCTTTGGGCAAAAGATTAATGGTCGCGCAAACAATTCAGCCCCCCGCCCCCGCCTCTTTTTGTGTCCCAGCCAAGTACAGAGCGCCCGGCAGTGGCCGCGGTCCAGATGTTCGTTGCCCAGATCCGTCGGTGCCTCTGAGAAGCTGGTCTTTGGTGGCGAAGCCTACCCAGCAAGGCTGTTCCCTCTACTAGCGGAAGTAGGCCGCGGTCACGGGTAATTCCTGTCCCCCCTCCTCTGCTACTCATTTTCAAGTGAAACGGCATTCCCGCCCCAGCCCAATCGAAGACGACACCCGCCTGCCTGTTTCTTTCCCATTGCTCGCGGTCTGTATAAATCTAATTTTACAGATCGCAGATAGCGGAGATCTTGTGCGCGCCCTCCCGCCTCCCCTGTTGTTCTCAGTTGAGCGTTCCCTCGAAAAGTCTCCAGCGGGTTCTGGCTCATGTCTATAAATAGCCACGGGCCGCCTAGAATTTTGCCTATTTAAAAAAGAGAGGTGTTTTCCCTTCTAGGGTGATCGCCTTCTCCGATGTTTCTGTTCTCACTTGAGATCAGGTGTCTGATGACGGATTGGCCCGTGTTAACAGCTGGATTTTTTTTTTTTTTGAAGAGGGAAATAAAGTCATCCATACAATTTCCTCCTCCTCCTCCTCTTTTTTTAATACTGGAATAAATAAAAATAAACATGCTTTCAGAAAGACTATGGGTGTATTTACCTAGGTAATACCTGTTTGTATGCATGGGCTGTATAAATAAGGCATCCTTGATCAGATCAGTGTCAAACATACTTTTATTTAGTTCTCGGAAACCAGTCACTACAAAAGCCATTAGCAGCTACGTTCAGCCTACTTATCTGGAAATAAGAAAGCCTGCCAAAATCAATGAGATTCTGTAAACATGGTGAAAAAAAATAGGGCTCCTAGCGAGTGTAGAGAAAG